TATGGGCGTTGTCGTTGAACAGGCCTTGGCTGATCGAATGCTTGCTATCCCGGTTCATATATGTCTTCAGCAGTATATGAGCATCTTCGCTCGTGACATGGTTCAAGAGTATATATGACCGGAGCTGCACACAAATATAGCCATTTGATTCACGTTCTAAGACGAGACCTATGTCCGTCAATATGGTAAAACCGCTGAGACCTTCCTGTCAGTCGACGCTGCCGACACCCACGCCGACGGTCTGAAGAACGAAGGGATTGTCAAAGGACTTCTGGGCCCTTCACGTAAGTGAGCGTGCTTCATATTACTGGGGGAGATCAGGTCGCCTCCTTCGATCATAAGACGCCTTGTTGCCCCAGCTTCCTTGTCGAGATGGAACCGTCGTTTCACTTGTCACCCAAGGCCAAACCTGAATGATAGGCATCTAACTTACGTTAATTGTATTCCTTCAACTCGATTACCAAGACGAGATGCCGAAGTGGGGTCTGAAACAGCACCTCGTGACTAACTCCTGATCGAAAACTTTCTGCTCCATAGAGGGAATAGTCTCATATGACTATCGATGGTATCAGATAGTGGTGGTTGACTGGATAAATAGCTGCCCTGTCTCGAGTGCGAACGTACAACAACCCCCCATCGTCTTCTGAACCATGTCGCAACCATACCGGACCTTTTCTGTGATCAAAAAAAGAGAGAATGTATCTGAAGAAGAGTTTAGAAGGCACTGGGAGAAAGTTCATGGCCCTAATCTCGTGCCGTTAATGAAAAAATATGGAGTCATGTACTATTCGCAGGTAAGTTGCAATGACTGAAATGCGAACAAAGATACTGACGACTTTTAGACCTATCCAACTCATAAAAACAGGGGTGTAATCAGTAAGGCCATATTCAGCGACGATGATCACACCCTCGACTGTGATGGAGTCGCGACCGTCGTATTCCCCTCTGCTGAAGCGGCCCACGGTTTCGCAAACGACCCAGCTCACGAAAAGGTTCTTAAAGAAGGGCACAAATTCTTTGTTCAAGAGAACTTGACTCGTATGACCGCGGGCGACGAGGTTGTGTTCGTGAATGATATGACGACCAAATAAGACCGACTATATCTCGTTCTTGGTTTAGTTTGCATGTAGAATTGAATAGTCGAAATGTATTGTTTTGGGCTCTCAATGTCCTTGCCTAAGTCGGCTGTCTGTCATTTGTTGGATTCAAGATCGAACCGGCCGGCTCAACGCCATCTTGGGCGCTTCGCATTGAAACTCGGTTAGTGATTAAGTGATATACGCTAAACGCTTTTAAGGCGTTAGGATATTTCCAACTTACGAGATAGGACACTATTCACTGCTATCGTTTAGTACACAAAAAGTCCATGACCATTGAGCTAGCTGCCGCAGTTTACTTTCGAGGCTAAGTACTCTGATGAGTAATAGAATACACCATACATTATCAGTCTTTTGCTCCTCTATTTGATAAAATATCTACACACAGGGTTACAAATAGCACTATCCTTGCACCACAACAGCCTATATCTTCTATGATCCTCGTCACCCGAGTTTCTGACCCGTAATAGAATAGGCGAAGAAGCAGTTAGACACATGAATCAGTTTTCTTCCAGAAATACCAGCGTAAGTGATTAGAATCTAGTCCTCGACCAGATCGTATTCTCCGTGTCGAGTACAAAATATTCGGCAACGGGCCAGCTGATCGTCCAATTCCAGGTTAAAATACGTTAACTCAAAGAGCACATCTTTCTATACAGCTATTCAGTGCGAATCGGGTGATGGGTCAGCAGAATTTGGTGGATAGATCGATTTCGAGGCACAGGCCAAACCACCCATCACACCAAACATGCCCCAGTCCTCGCCCTCGCCAAGAGAGAAGGTATTTATGACGAAGAGTTAAGAAAGATCTAAGAAATCGTGCAGGCTCCAAAGTTTCTGCCCGTACTGCAGACTATGATCGAATCTTTACCTGATTTTCCACCAGGAAAGCTGCCGGCGCGTTCATGAATGCTCCAGAGCTCAATATTTCTTCAAAAGAGAGCCCATGGAGCTTCCTGCAGCTGGGTTCGTTTCGGGGAGAGGAGGTCGTGCTGCTCGCTTTGAAGGGAAACAAGTAGAGCAATTTCCTTTTTTCGAACATGTCTCTCTTCTAATTGAATGAATTTACTGGGAGTACTGAGCCAATCATGCGGATGAGATATCCAAGTCAATGCCACTCGTTTGTGATCGTCCAATCCCAAGGTTAATGTCATAATCTACGCAATACCATCAAAATATAGAGTTAATCGATGAGAATCTGATAACAGTATCAAGAACCGATAAATATAGGCCCAAGCTGGAGCCAGCAGCGGACATTCTCAGATTTCTCCATCAGCCATGTCTCAGACCTCCCAACCCGTTCGTGCTATGTCCTTCATCAAGAGGAACGAAAATGTCACAGATGAGGATTTCAGGAAGAACTGGGAAAAGGAACACTCGCAAAAAATGCTGCCCTTACTGAAAAAATACGGCGCCTTATACTACTCTCAAGTGCGTGTCGTCTTCTACTTCCACTTCATCTGTCGGTTTCTGCCTTTGTCAGGATGCATGTACGCTGGTGCTCACTATGTCATAGACCTACATAAGCCACGATGGTCAACGTGCGATCAGTCAATCTTTATTCGAGGACAAGTCTAGGACCCTCGATTACGATGGAATCGCCACTATCGTTTTCCCATCACTTCAAGCCGCTGAAGACTTCAGTAAGGATACGGAACACTCGAAAACCGTCAAAGATGATCCCAAAGTCTGGATTCAAGCAGGCGCTGCCCGTATCATGGCAGGAGAAGAGGTCGTGTTCTTGAATCAAATCTCTAGCAAGTAGAATCTATATGCCCGCATTTAGATTTTGTGTACTCGAACAATGAAATAATGTCAGACCGAATAATTTTGACCCCGAAAGCTAGAATGTGTGTCAGTGGTGCGCAATACCCTACGCCACTGATGGCTTGCTATACTATAGTGTGCCTAAACGCGTGTTCTGTTCCTTAAAGGTTATCCTACCGAAAACAAAGCACCTCATTCTATCATGTATTAGATATGGGAGCCACTACGCTGGCCTCAGTGTCATATTCGGCGCTATATATTCAATGTCAATGCCCTTCAGAGATATTGAATTACTGCATTATCAGGAGAAATGTCGTTATTCGCTTCAGCTTGTCATTA